CCTCACTGTTTAAGTCGACTTGTTTAGCTGAAGGCTTCCGGTCAAGCATCCTTGCCATTTGGTACCCCATCGTGTCACGTTCGTGCACGATCGCTAGCTAGATAAGCACTCGAAACGGTTTAGTATATATATATTTATTCCTGTTTATGCAGGAACATACCAATTGTACAGGCATGGATAAGTTATTATATAAATTACAGTTTGTTTGTTCAATCTAACATTAGAGTCAGTCAGAACAGTCTGCAAAATAGTCTGTCTGTGTAACACATAAAGAGATATAGAAATATTGTCTTCGCATTAACAAAAAACCCAGACTTCAGATGAGTGTGATACAAATATCTGGGAAAAATAAAGCTTGAAGTCAATTCTCCTATAAAACTTTGTTGTGAACAGCATCCGTGAGATAAAGTTTATTGATGTATTATTTTGATTCAATAATGTATTTATTCCATTTTTGTCAGCAGTCTTATCGTAGTTTTATAATAGGAAAGAAATTTGATCTTTGATACGAAAGTTAGATAAGGTAGTGTTAGATTGTTTTACTGCATCAAATGGGGTCAATTCTAGAACTATCCATTTGCGCCATTTGCGTCAGCATGGCAGACTGTACATGTAAGTTGAGTAATACATTGATAACTGTTTGAAAACCAGTTGCTTCTTTATTTCAGATCAAGAATACTCCTTGTACAGAATGTTAGCCAGCGTTTTCAAGTGGTTGCATCGGATCGTTCATGGAATTTGAGTTTGAATTTACATAAATGGTCATTTCAGTTTGGATGTTGGGTTGTTCGACCTCAACCAGGAGGTATATAGAAGTTTACGCTCAGCAGGGAGATAAAGTATGTAAATATGAAAAGAACTTTATTATTTTATGTACATATAAATGTTTATAAATGTATATCATTGTATAGTAAACACTACCCATAATCTTGTTGTTTTTTATGTAATTTTGCGAAGTCTTAGAGTTTATTTAGTGTCGTAATATTTAGTAATGAGTCTAGGCGTTATAGTGTGCTAATAGCTCATGCGTTTTGGAAATAAGTGGTGCGGTGTGATTGGCATAGTCATTGGGATGAAGCAGTTTATATAGCAAGCGTTTGAAGGTTATGATAGAGTGACAGGTCCTTATTTCTAGGGGTAAACTGTTCCAGATCTTAGAGTACATGACTATGAAGAAGTTTGCACGGAGTGCTGTTTTACAGTTTTTCCTAGATACTTTGCACGTTTGGTTACGAAGGTTGTAAGAGCCTTCCGGTGAGAACTGTATCTCTTTGCTGTCTGAGAATGATATTTTATGCAATATTTTAAAGAAGAATGTTAGGTTAATGCTCAGTCGTCTCATCCAGAGTGGGTCGATACCTAGAGTTATACACCTTGATGTGTAGTCCTTTTCGCAGTCAAATCCTAGTAGTTTAGACGTGAAGTATCGTTGGACACTTTCTATTTTAAGTTTGTCACTTACGCGAGTGCTGCTGAGAATAAATGGACAATATTCAAGTAGTGGTCTGACACAAGTTTTATATAATAATAGCTTCGCTTCGTAGTTGTGGAAATTCCTGAGTATGCATCCTAGAAGCATCCTCGATTTACGCGTCTGTGTCGCCACTTGCTCGGAAAATGTCAAGTCACTAGAGTACCTGAGTCCTAGGTCAACAACACTTTGGAGTTTAGGCAAGTCGATAGATTCAAGTACCAGTTTAATATTTATTGAGGGTGCACCGAAGCATATCCAACCACATTTTTTAAGGTTGAATTTTAGGTTCCATGTGGAGGACCATGCAGTTACTCGATCTAGTTCTTCCTGAACAGCTTTCTGAAAGTACCCTAAGTCATCACAGTGGAATGTGTAAGCTACTTTAAGATCATCTGCAAAGATGAATGGTTTGCCTAGTGAGAAACAGCTGCATATGTCGTTGACATATAGAGTGAATAGGAGGGGGCCTAAGACGCTACCTTGAACTACTCCAGAAGTGACTGGACTAGGTTTAGAGTTTACAGAACCCAGTCTAACTACTTGGGACCTATTGTTAAGGAATGATTCAATCCATCCTAATAATGGGTTACTTATTCCTAAGGAGTTTAGCTTATTTATTAGAAGCAAGTGGTCAACGCGGTCAAAGGCTTTGGATATGTCGAAGTAGATGACAAGTACTAGTTGTTGTTTGTCGCGGCTGCTAGTTATGTAGTTAAAGAAGTCAACGTGACATGTCATGCATGATCTGGATTTTAGGAATCCATGTTGGTTGGGACTTAGAATATTGCAGCTGAGCATATGTTTGAGGATATCATCTTTAACTATTCGTTCAATGATTCTAGATACTATGGGTGTAATATTGATTGGCCTATAGTTGTTGACTTCAGTTTTTGATCCGGATTTGTGTTTAGGTACTATAAATGTCGTTTTCCATTTATCTGGATAGGTTTGGCTTTCTAGGGACATTGTAAAAATCTTAAGTAATAAAACGGAAATGTCAGAACCACCGTGTTTATAAAGATACGATGGTATACCGTCAAAACCGGCACTACTAGAGTTTTTAAGAGTATTAACGGCTTGGTTAATATTAGAGTAAGTGAAATGAACTGTAGTGATTTGTTTCAGCGTTGAAGATGAAGGGAGTTCTATTTTAGATTGTAAACCGAGAAGTGGACTTGTAGGCTTAAGGTAGTTAGCTGCAAACGTCTCATTAAACAGTTCACACATGTCTGCATGTTTGCTGTATAGTTTGCCCTTGTTTATAAGGAGAGAAATTTTATGGCTTTGGCGATTCATTCGTTTCTTTAGTATTTCTGTGAGAGCACCTACTCTGGTGGTGCTGGCTAGTGCCGTGCATTCTTCATTTCTCATACGCAAGTTATGAGCTTGCGAGATGGAGCTAAGAGTACTAAGTATTGACCCTAGTGTACTAAAGTCGTGTCGCCTGAAGTAACTTGTTGACAGTCTTTTCAGTTTCCTACGATCCTTTGGCTTTATGAATGTCTTTCTATGTGGGGAAAACTTTAGTGTTTGAAATGGGATGACAGCATCTAAGCATGTGTTGGAGTTATAGTAAAAGATGTCTAGAGCTTTCGAGAGGCTATCAGTATAGAAGTACTCACTCCATTCTGAGGATCTTAGCATTGATTTTACTAGAGTCCAGTCTGCCTTACTGTAGTTCCTGTAAGTTATTTGTTGTGAAGTAGGGGTATGGGTTGCATTGCTACTTGACGGAAGTGGCAGTGCACACAGCACTGTTTTGTGGTCACTCCCTGAAAACTCAGAACCTACTAGGGTAGAAAGGGGACTTATATTGTGGCAGAAGATTAAGTCTAGTACGTTATTACCTCTTGTAGGGGTTGTGACGGTCTGCTTCCAGCCAAGTATATCCAGTGTGCCTAAGAACTTATCAAGTTTAGTTGGACCTGTGGGTATTTCCCAGTTGATTTCTGGTAAGTTAAAGTCTCCACATAGGATCTTATGATCGTAGTGGAGGGTGGATAATTGTTCTAGAGTATTAATAAGTTGGGTCTCGTAATTACTAAAGGTGCCAGGTGCTCTGTAGGTGCATCCAATTAATACTATTGCGTTATTTAAGTGTAAGTTAACCCATAAAGTCTCAGGCATGTTAAGTGTACTACTTTCTAGCTGTGATACAGTAAGTGCATTCAGAAAGTACATAAGACAACCCCCTCCCTTACCACCTTCCCTGTCACACCGAAAGTGTGTATAGTTATCTAAGCTTATCTCTTCATCCAGTATGTTCGAGTTACACCAGGATTCAGTGATGACAATTATAGGGGGTTTGTATATTACTGTGAGTGCTCTGAGCATCGGTAGTTTATTTAGAACGGATCTAGCATTTATGAGGATTAGGTAAAGATGAGATTTGAAATAGCATTTGAAGTACTTAAGTTCGTCAATCAGCCCCGAATGTGGTTCAGCACCCAGTAGTACTGTTTGACATGACGACCCTATGTTGAGAGGAGTTTCAGCATCATGTTCACCTATGTCTATCGAGTTGGTGTGTGCTGTTTTCGGTGAAGAATTGAGCGTTGGAGTACTGGATGTGCTATAGGCTAAGGCATTTTTATTTTTAGTAAAGCTAGAAACGGGGGTAGGGATCTTAATTTGACCTAAACTTGTGCATGTACCAAGTGTGCTTAGTGGATGCGGGTGAGCTAGACTGTTCCTACATTCATGCAAAGGGGGAGCCAGCACTAGTGGTTTAGGAGTGTTAGCATCCCTACCAGCTGTTTTTTCAACGCTGACAGGGACGCAGGGGATAAAAAATGATTGGGACCTTGTGAAGACCATGGTCTATTATTCCACCTATTGTTAGGTACTAGTGGTGTCCTTGTAAGGGTTTCGAATGTACTGCTTTGTGGGTTAGTTCCCAGCAGACTTGTACCGTATATCCGATCAAAATTTATTAGCGTGCCATACTGTGAATGCCCTGAGTTGTTGGTGGTCGAGTTCTGACTATTGTCACTTGTACTCTTGAGGGTGGCATTGTTTGGGCGTTGGTTATCAGTGTGGGCCGTGGTGCTATTTCGCACGTTGTGGGTGCCAATACTATTGACCGTGGGGAATGTGGGCTTACTTATACTGCCATTGTTGTTGTTGGCATGATTTGGGGTCATATTCTTCTCTTTTTTACCAATGGACTTATGGCTAGGAGAGGAAAGGGTCAACTTTCGGGGGATTTTGACTTTTTTTCTTGGATTATTTAGTGACATGTCTAAATCTACGGTGGTAGGTGGTATAGTTTTATTGGCTATTTGATTACAATTTAGCGGCCTTTCGGTTGGTGTCGCTCTCTGAGAAGATAATTCTGTGTGGTTAGAGAGGGGTGGTGCGGTGGATTCTACGGTATCTCTCAAAGGGTTGGGTATAATTGCTGCTTGCAATGTCCTATTGTTTATTCCACAGTTAGACTCAGTGTGATAATTATATACGCGCCTTTCTATGACGGTCTTGTCCACCGCAACCTTTACTAGTTTATAATTTCTGGCTTGCAGTGGGGTGTGTTGGGAGTGGATAAATTTTCTGGCCTCAGCAGGTGTTTCGAACTGAAAACGAATAGGACAACACTTTTCATGTTGACTCTTCTTCAGCCTGTAGCACTTAGTCTTGGAGTTGGGCATTTTCGCCTCACTAAGTAGGATGCGCTGTACCTTTTTTAGTGCCTCATTATCCGGAACGTTGTAGACAATAGCATTTAATTTAGCATCTAGTCGTTTTGTTACTTCTGTAGTAACAAAGTTAATTAGGTTATCCACCTTAGATATCGATTCACTGTCAAGTTTGTTAAGGTCTACAGTTTTCATGAGAATAGTTAAAGGTGTCAGTTCACAGACCTGCAGTCTGATATCACTGATCTGACCTGATAAATTGGAGATTTTGGTATTGGTATCGGAAATTCCAGGATCTACTGACTTATTGTTTTTTAAGTCCCTTAACTCGGCCTTAAGTTCTCCTATAGACAACTTTAGAAGTTCTATTTCTGAAGATAGTACTGAAACAGAGCTTGAAGGCTGGAGCTTTTCGATAAGCACATAAGGTGTAGGGAGGGTTTCTGTATGAGCAGAGGGTACTGAATTTTTGGGAGTAGTGCTAATACTAGCTGTCAGTGCAGTTTTATCCTCAGTTTCAGCTCGACGCTTACGACATACAAGTGAGTTTTGTGGCTCACTATAACCATTTGTAGGAAGTATGTTGCTTGATGTAGCAATCAACGACTTAAAATTAGTCATCAGTTTTACAGGGGATTGAGTTCGCTGCTTTTTACTTTGGTTAACCATAACTATTTGATATGAGAGTTAATAGTTATAGGTATGGAAGTAGTAGAGGACTTGTGCAAGGATTACAACAAGATAAATTTTATGTAACGAATCACGCAAAAATGTAACGCAAACGTTGGACGTACCGCGTATCTACTATTCGGTCCCGAAATATATCCCGTATTTTGGATGACTAATCTGGTCTTTTGCTCTGTATTTGGTACACGACGAACGGATACTACAGAAGTTGTTGGTATAAGATCTCGCGTCAGTATACTCCGTACAATTCGCGAACGTCGATACCGTCAACCTCTAAAATATGATCATTCAGGTGGAGGCAAAATAAGGTTTTATAGATCCATATATGACAGGGCATTGACAGACGATAAGATGATCGGCAACGGAAACACTTATTTGCAACTCGACACACAGGTATATGCAGAATGCGTCCATTATGTAGTAGCATCACAATATGCATATATCTTCTGTACTATGATACTTCATCCTCTGTATTGTTCTTCCTCGTCTGCCCTGTCCAGTTTCCTATGTTGATTCTCAAGCAAAGTTCCCCAAGTTCACCTCTTCGCCATTCGACATTGTTGACGCCGATATATACATAAATATATTAATATCTGCATCTATACAATACAGCATCACACACCGCAAGAGCATTTAGCACTTAGCTCTCCATCCATGAGACATAATGTAGCATATACATCAAACATGTCGCTTAACGAGTTCTGGCTTTTGTCAAAGTTTTTGGTCAAAATGGACGCATGATTCCTCATTGCATCAGTTACAGTCACTGAGAGGCTAATCTGCCCATCGTTGTAATGCTAATATAGCCTGACCGTCTACAATCTGAGTTTTTGTAACCTTCCTTTCAACGTCCTTTGACGCTTAAAGATTCTCGGGCTTACTTGTCACCCACATGATAAATCGGCATTTCTTGTAGTTTTGTAAGTCTCTGTGCCCTTCATGTATAGAGCAGGATATTTTATTGATAAGTACTAAATCAAAAATGGTTCTATCATGGACTTCTTCGACGTTTTAACAATCAAGCCAACGAATACGGGCAGATGCTGTTGAGACCATCGATGATTCTCTTCATCGAGGTGATTTAGGTCCAAAAAGAGGGGCTGGTCTCTAGCGCTAGTCTCGTCTGTGTTTTCAAAAACATGTTCCTGTGTTAAACAGCAATTGATGCTGTCTTAAAATCAAGCAATATCACACGGACTGCAGTTTTGCATCCAATATAATATGCAGTAGCTCCATCTTGACCAAAGCACAAGGAGGCTACCTCCTCGGGAGTCTTTTTATACGTAACTCCATAGGAACTAGCAATCCTAGGTATATAATAATATATATTTTCCTATTAATGTAGGACACACCAGTTGTACAGGCATGGTTAAGTATTATTTAAATTACATGAATTTGATTTATAGTGAAATTACATGGTTGCTGTCCTCTCTGACATCAGTTAGTGAGCACATTCTGATAGTTAGTCGTTCAATGGAGCACATAAAGAAATATAGAAATATTGTCTTCGCATTAACAAAAAAACCCAAGTATGTGTCGGATAAATTACAAATATTTGGGAAAAAAATAAAGCTTGAAGTCAATTCCTCCATATAACTTTGTTGTGTGCGGCATCGTATCTTGTTTTATGTTCAAATTGGGTATTAATTTAAAATGAGTGATTTATTTTCATGATTTTGACATCATTTTTATTGCAAGTAATGACAGACGTGAATTCAACTGAATGCACATTAATATTGGTCAATTTCAAGCAGATTTGTTTTACTGCACTCTAGTCACCCACAGCCCGCCATTTGTCACAGTACGGTTGCTCCGTACGAGTAAGTTGATAAACGCGTAGAAAGCTATATAAAAACCATTTTAGATCGTTGACAGTGCTTGTATAAGATGCTGTACAGCGTCTTGTTATGGTGACAGTGGATTTCATCAAGGATGCTGAGCCATTACTAGCCAAACGTTGAGGGATAATATATGAGTAAGTGACTTCAATTGTTTCTCAGCTTCAGTCGGAATGTAGATCTATGCAACTTGTACTACAAAGTAAATACAACAGAAATGTACCAGAGGACAAAGAAAAAGTATGTGGTGTCAAAAATATTTGTTTATATTCGTTGTACATTGTAATTTGATGAACAAAAATTTGTTTCTACTATGTCTTTTTATGCATTTATGCTACTAGTTTATTTATAGTCTTTAGAGAAGTAAGGGTATTTAAGCGCGTTTAGATACTGTGGTGGACTAATAGTTGATTCGTTCTAGGAATAAGTAGTTTATTTATATAGTCGGTAGAGTTAAATAGTGTGTACAGAGAGCGTTTGAAACTTAAAACTGTATTGCAGTTCCTGATATCTAGGGGCAGATTGTTCCATATTTTCGAATACATGACTGTGAAGAAGTTTTCGCGGAGTGTTGACTTGAAGGCTTTTATTGTCACTGTGCAATTTTGGTTACGCAGATCGTAAGAGCCTTCTTGCGCGAATTGTATGTCCTTAATGTCTGAGAATGATATTTTGTGTAGGACCTTATAGAAGAATACTAGGTTTATACATAGACCAACACGAACGTGTTTTACATTTTACAGTAAATTTTTAGACAAAATCACTCAACGTGGTACAGGGGATGGGGTAGCAATGACGAATAAATGTGGGTACAGTGGAAAAATGAATTCGCTTCTAACCGATGAAACGAGATTCCAAAGGCTTTACAGTTCAACAGGTCTAGATGGAAAGGCTGAAAAGCAGCTAAAAATCACGCTCAAAGAGCTGAGGAAAAATAAAGAAGTCTCAGTGGCAACCAAAAAGCGTCTTAAGCCTACTGGACTTTAGACTTCACTAATGCGTGGTTTGCCAAAAGTATTTTAACCTAGACTTCCTCTTCGCCCACTCCTAAATATACCAAATTCCATCTACCATGGAGTAACAAAGTAGCTAGTTGGACTACCCCAGCCAATACGCAGGAAATTTGTAAATTACGGTGGTAGTGACGTCTTCAAATTCATTTCCAGCCTGCATGACATGGATGTGTATGGGAAGCGGATGCTATCGTTAAATGTAGCATCACAATACACCAATTTGCCACCAGAGATCACACGACATATCCCTTTATCGTACCATTTATGGAGACTGTGGAAGTTTTATGCCAAGATTAGTTGAAAAGTAGCAAGATTTTAGAATTCTAATTCCTAGTCTAAAAGGGCTGCTTCTAAATACGCTGTGAATATACACAACACAATCAACAGCCTTTATTACGGACAAATCGACGGGATCACCAAGGGTTCTTTATTGAATCCTATTTCGGCAGATTTCTTTTGTCACAATATTGATAATGGTGCACTGGGGCAATTAATGAATAAAATGGATTCTTATTTTCGTGGTGTTAGTGATACACTTATTTTTTTGATGAGGAAGCCGATAAGAGCGAAATGTTTGCATAATTAATTGATGCACATTCATCAGTCGTCTTCACTCCTGAAGAAGACTATAGTAGATTACAGTCCCCTGATGTCTGATAGAACAGAAAGAGGTGGGGTCCACACAGGAGAAATATCTAACGGAAAAGTACGTCTGTCTGACAATATACACATTTCCCTAGTCTTGTAGCTCTTAAAGACACTGCGTAAATAACCTTCGAAGAAACAGACTCACAGTATTCAACCAGAATCCAAAACAAAATCAAATCGTTTCTAATAGATATGACTGAATCCAAACAAAGACAAATGGCTCCAAACAGAATTACACTGATAACAGTCCACTGAAAAGCTGCAACATTGTAGTCCTGTTAAACCAGATGCACCACAGAAACATGATACGAAACTTCAAATATTAGGTCGTCCGATATCCACAAAGTGTAAAGTGGTAAATAAAGTACAACTTTGGTGTTTAAATCTGTAATATTAGACGCAACTGCATCAATCCAATACATAATCAGTTTGGTCAAATGACTTATGAATGGAACAGGGAGAATCTGTACTCATGACTTCTCAGACAATAAATTAGGGTACATCGAAAATAGGCTAGTGCAAATGGGTTGTCCTAGTAGATTTGTAAGGAGACACGGACTCTGTGCATTATAAAAGGAAGACAATCACTGCTGAAGCAAAATGAATGTTCCAGAAACTGTAGTGCACTGCGGACATGTGTAGGTGTACCGGCTTCAGCAACTCTTAACCGACGGCCGCTGAACATAGTTCTGTTGCCAGAAGGTCAATAGATGCAGCCCGGAATAATTTGAACAGCAATCAACTCGGAATCCTTAAAAGCCAAATTAGCAATTTGGCGATCTCCTGATAAAAAAACAGAAAGACTAGACAATTACGGCACGAATGGTTACAGTACCCAAAGTTGCAGCCACAAAACACGGTTTCTAAAGTCTATAGGTCCAAATAAATATCAGTATAATTCAAAACAATTCTTCTGAGAGTATTGCTCCAGTTTCCTACTGAATAGCAATCAACTAGATCACAGTAGTGATTGTGATCACAAACGAAAATAAAACAAGTCTGGACATGCTAGGTCACTGTGTAACGGCAGAATGCGAAGACTTGGTAAAGAAATTTTTATTTCGAAACTTGTATCCAGCTATCTCTGGGATAACATACTTCGGAAGTTGGAAACCTAGCATATGTCTATACGTGTACGGTGACCTTGTGTCAAACACAAACACAGTCACAGATCTCGGGTTAACATACTCAGATCTTCCCTTTACTGGACATGCAAATAAGGTGGTATCTAGTTGTAAACGTCTAACCGGCTTTGCGCTACGCAACTTTCACACTTCGGAAGCCAGATTGGCTAAATATAAGATATGTATTCGCCCCAAACTTGAATACTGTGCCCACTTATACAGTAGCTTTAAATCAACAGACAGAAAAAAAGTTGAAAGTGTCGAAAGATTCCTCACGAAATGCATATCAGGCTATGATCAACAAATAGAATACCTTGATGGATGTATTCGACTGGACTTAGAACCCTTATGGTTAAGGAGAGTGAAGTGCAACTTATTTCTCTTATTCAAAGTTATAAGAAAGCACAGTAGCAGTAACTCATCCATAACGTGTGCTAATCTTAAATTGTATGGTCTACGCAACCATGACTACCTTCTCAAGGTTAACAC